GACGATTCTTCCCCCTTAAAAAAGGAAAATTTATACACAAAAGGATTTTTATTACTGTACATCATTTAACTTGAACGTGAATTTAAGCCAGTCCCCTCCTTTTTATTCATAGCACAGTCTTCCTTTCAGTTAAACGTAGTTCTCTGTCACCACAGCTTGACAGCCTGCTGCCAGGGTCCTCTTTGATAACAGCCCCATTGCAGGCAACAACTTGTTTCAGGAACGGTTTTCCAACATCCCGTTTCCCCGTGTTAACAGCTGCAGAATTGTGTGCTAAGTATGTGAATTCCCCCCAATCATGGCCAAAGTGCTTAAAGCAGAGATGGCGAGGGCATAGCAAATCCCACTGTAATTCTAGGAGCCTCGTTCCACTGAAGAGACCGTCCCCCATGTTACTACATCATCCTAACACCTCTGTCTGCTCACAGGCTGGAAAAAATTCCGTGATTCCCAAACAGGACCTGAAGTGTGCCTTCAAAAATTAAGCCACCTGGTTGGGTGCAAGTGCAGCCATCTTACAGTGCGCCATTAGAGCAGAGAAACCCCATGCAACATGCCACACACAGGCAGGCGGCTGTGTCGCCAAAGGGAGTTCTTGAACAAGACAGAAAAAGGTGCGCAGCACGTCAGGCCCCGAACACCCCACATTCAATCCAGCCAGGAGCTCTCTTTTCCCCTTTATTTTCTGGGAGAGCAAAGACAACAAACAGCCTCATTTACACAATAACTTATATAAATAAGGAGAGCAAAAGACATCTTAATTTTATATTAAAAAAAAAAAATCAAAAAGGGACAACGAAGAAGGTCTCCTAAGGAGAAAGGCCTGTACACAGCAAAATAGCACCATTGGAGGAAACCGACAAGGTTCCCATCGGAAAAACAGGGAAAGGACAGAAGAGGTGGCATGACTGTGCGGAAAACTAAACAGCAACATTTACAACTTAACGTTAAAAAACATTACGTGGAAGGGGCGGGGGGGCCAACAGTCCATCCTGAGCCCATGGTCGCTCTAGGACCCAGGGAGACCTGATTTAAGGTAGAGAAGCACCCGAGCTAGTTGGTCGCACTGGGAAGGAGGAACCGTTCCATCCGGTTGGAAGCTCAGTCCCAGCAAACCGAGAGACTGCTGGGAGGTCACAGTGCTGGGAGGAAATGGGGTGGAGACAGCAGCCTTCCAAACACTTCTCCTCCTCCCCCCCCCCTTCACCGCCACCTTCTGTTTGGTACGCTCCAGCAGCCATGGCTCTCGAACACAAGGGGTGGATTGAAGACATCCCCGTCCCCCACTCCTCATGCCCCTCGGGAAGGAAATCCTGAATTTGGCAAAGCCCAATGCACTCTCTGACTGTCGAGAAGCAGAGGAGCTTAAGTAATACGCTTAGGCAAGAGTTTGCACAACCAGTGAGGTAAGAGCGAGGCAGCTTTTGCAGAGGCAGATACGGGACGTTCTCCTTTCCAAGGTCTGCTCCTGCTCCCGGCCAGCAAAAGAGACACCAGCCCCAGGATAGCTAGCTGGTGGGAACTGTGGGTGGATGTGAGTTCCCCAGGACGGCCTGTTCCTCAAAGGAGACTCCCCCAGCAGCCCAGATGCCTGGATCCATCCCTCCCTGCGGTGAATTTACAAGCTCCATGAGTTGGCCAAGGGATGGGCAAGGCAAGACAGATCCCACCCGGGACCCCTCCTCAGTGCATCAGAAAGTAGCACAGGATCCGTAGCTAAGCGGGAGCAGACACAATGGGACCGGTTCCTGTCCCACCCACCCCTTCTCTCCAGGTGCCCTGGTTAATAAAGTTCCCTGCTTTGGGACAGACAGGAGTGCTGGGTGTGGAAGACGCATCGTATTCTGGTGCAGGGCCAAGATTTGGTTTGGGAGACTCGAGCAGAATCCCGGAGGCAGAGCTGGGCCTTCTGGAGCACCAGGCGGGGAGCGTGTGGCACCGTAAGCCGATGCCCCAAACTCGGCCCCGTCCCCAGCCCTGCTCAGCCCTGGCTGCCACAGGAGGACAAGCTGTCATAGAGAGAGTCACTGAGGGACTCGGAGTTCTCCAGGCCCGGCTGGCCTTCCGGACCCGTCTCCCTGGAATGGGCCTCTGTGCTGACCTCTTCACCCACGTCGGAAGCGCTGGGAGTGCGGCTGCTGCTGGTGCTGAAGGCCGGCGAGGCCTGAGGCCCATCCGATGAGGTGCGTCTCCTCTCAACTACGCCACAAGCTGAACCCTGCAGAGACAGAGAGCAAGGAGGCACGGCGGCTTAGCAGCCTCGCTAAAAGCCTCAGCCAAAAAGCCATGTGCCAGAGACACAGAAGCTCTGTCAGCACAGGCGAAGCCTTGGTCCTAGTTCTGATCAAGATGTGGAAAATGCCCCCCTCGCACAGTCGGTTCCCCTCGAAGAAGCACCTGCACTTGCTTCAGTCCTCCCTGTGTTTTGCTCATCAGTGTTTTGGGGTGGAGTTTCAGGACACACAGAGACAAGAGGGCTGCAGACCAGGACGTTATGGCCAGACTTTTAAAAGCCCCTTTTGCTCTGCCACCGTCCCAGAAGCAGGGCCCTACACTCAGTGGCCCCCTTTAAAGAAACTCCATATACCGAACCCTTCCAATGGAAAGGCTCAGCACAAATCTGCCACTGTGGGCACTACCACAACTCACTGCTGGTGCTAGCAGAGCTTCGCTTCACAAGGCCTCCGGGCATGGTGGAGGCCTAGCAGAGGCCCCCCCCCCTTGGCAAGGCCCAGATGGGGTCCTCCCCGCCCCCCAACCCCGCTCAGGACAGAGCCCCAATTGACACAGTTCTTACCACTGCAGACCCATGAAGTCCCTCCATCCT